TTTCAAGGTGATATTGAATGTCTTTCTCGGAGAGAACTATGGATGTCTGTCTGAACCGGATCATGACGGTTCGTGGTGAATTCGCTAAAACGGAGGAGAATCACGGCATAGAAGGGAGAGATATTGACGCAGACGATGACCAGCCGTCAAAGTGCAATGAATCTGTCCGTGATACTTGTTTACCGGACTCCATTTGAACAAATGCAGAAAGTCCATTCGCGATCTAGAGATAAGCTGGGAAGGAGCCGCGGAGTCTATTTATGTAGTTTTGAGTTACTCTTGTCTACGGAGAATAGAGCAACGTAGCAGGTAACATGCTTGTCAATGACATAGCCCGATAGAACCACTCTAGAATGGCGTCTAATACTTTCACGGTGAGAGGATGTATGTAGTGCACATCATGAGATAGCTATCCACTGCATACTGCATACGTCAATGCCGAATGTGGCATCACTTCGTTTTGTCAGATGCTTTCTGCCTGATACCCCAGGCATCGATATATATCAGGCACAGCCAAGTCGACTAGGTAGTCTATCTACATCAGTGCAATTACGGTAGCAAATAATCTAGTCAAGGTTCATCTCAAGGTCAAAAGTAAGATCATTATCTTACAAGAAATCCCCAGTCTCCAACATTCTTTTCTCTTCTGTCTTGTCGTCGCAGTCCTCCGCCAATCTCGCTCATTTGGGCCCCAACTCGACTCAGCCTCTCCCGCTCCGTCACTACAGAGTACTTGTTATTATTATCTTTTTGGTCCCCTCCTCGGACTACGTTTCTCGTTTCTCTGGCTTATGACCTTTCTTTTCCTATCTTCTTGATTGCTACTCTTTCTGTTTCCTTCGTTTTCTCGCTTTTGTCTTCATCAACATCGACCTGCTGCTCCCCCTTTCTATCTTTCGTGGTTGTTTTGGCTGTATCATGCATCACCCACTACTCCCCCGACCGCCGCCATAGTCCATCGGCCACCCCTCTTCAAGTCCATTCACTGAAACGGGCCTGATATTTCCCTTCTCTCGACATTCTACCCGTATTGCATCCATCACAACCCCTTCTTCCTCCTTGAGGCCGCTACGGTGTCCGTGGCTTCAACAACCCCACCTTAACAATCGCTCTCTTCTTTTGCTACCTCCGCCTAGATCGAAGCTTTCCCCTTCATTACCTCGATTTCTCCATTGCAACCTGGGTCCGTAACGGGCCATCCGCCATCCGTGCCCATCATGGACGGCGATTTGAGTCTCTCCCAGTCCTTGGGGGGCTTACGGATTGCAAATCCAGATGATTCCTCTTTGCATTCATCTGAGGATACATCGACTCCAACTCCGGGCGCCGGTACCTTAACCACGGCGGCAGAACCAGCTTCAGCTCCAGCTCCAGACCTAGAGCGCGAGTCGACGATGCGATCGACGTCAATACAAACCTCGAACGAGCACGACCAAGAGATTTCTATCCCCCCATTTCCTGAAAACTACTCCAAATCCTCCGACGACTGTAATTCTTCCCTTCTCCCTCCTTCAGATCTACCACAGCACCAAACTCCGCAATACCTCCCCTATACGCCGCAACATCAACAACAGCAGCAACAACATCCTCCTCAGAACTCCTCCTCGCGCCCTCTATCCGCTTTCTATCCGAACGGTTCCTCCTCGACATTAGCCCGCGAAGGCTCCTATCGTATTCGTACGGATTCTGCTGCCTCCTCCGCGTCGGAAAGTCTAGCACGTGCAGAGTCCCGAGGTGGTTCTGCTGCCTATCAAGCTGGAGTCCCAGTGCGCGATAACAGTCACAGTGACCGCTCTTACCGGTCTGCGCATCGTGCACCTGGGAACGGGCCAATAATGCGTCAATCCTCACGGGCTCACGCACGCGGCGGAGGAGCCTCACAACTGTCCGGGTCCCCTTATGGCATGGAAAATGGACCGCCAACGAGCAGTGAAGACTGGCAAGAGCGTGGTGCAGCTGTCTCCGTGAGGCAAGAAATTGACGCTAATGGCAAGCCGGTCGCGCGGTATATCAAAAAGGGGGTCCGCGATTTCTCCTTCGGACAGACATTGGGAGAGGGTTCATACAGTACTGTTGTATTAGCGACGGATCGTCAGACGTTGAAGGAATACGCGATCAAGATTCTCGACAAACGTCACATCATTAAGGAGAAGAAGGTGAAATACGTCAACATCGAGAAGGATACACTGAATCGGCTCACAGAACACCCCGGCATTGTCCGACTCTACTACACCTTTCAGGATGAACGCTCGTTGTATTTCGTGCTAGATCTCTGCAAGGGGGGCGAATTGCTAGGAGTGTTAAAGCGGATGTCTACCTTTGATGAAGAGTGCACAAGGTTTTACGGTGCTCAGATTCTCGACACGATCGACTACATGCACAAACGCGGCGTAATTCATCGCGACTTGAAACCAGAGAACGTTCTTCTGGACAGCCAGATGTACATCAAAATCACTGACTTTGGCACGGCAAAAATCCTTAATAATCAAAGGACCACCGATCAGAACTCAAGTGGAATGCCACCACTCGACTCCTCTGAGATCCCGGAAGACGAGCGGGCAAGCTCGTTCGTCGGTACGGCAGAGTATGTCAGTCCAGAGCTTTTGACGGACAAGAATGCCTGCAAGGCTAGTGATCTGTGGGCGTTTGGCTGCATCATCTACCAACTCCTGGCCGGCCGTCCTCCGTTCAAGGCTGCGAACGAGTACCTGACTTTTCAAAAGATCGTCGCGCTTGAGTACGAGTTTCCCGTGGGCTTCCCTGCGGTTGCTCGAGACCTCGTCGAGCGCCTTTTGGTCCTTGACCCGGCTAGGCGTCTCCCGATTGAACATATTAAAAATCATGAGTTTTTCCAAGGCGTGACCTGGGGCTCGGATCTATGGACCCGGAAAGCACCGCGTCTCAAGGCGTACGTGCCTCCACCTCGCGAGCCCATCAAGCTCAATGGGGGTGGTGACAATGACAGTTTCCCCCCCGTTATCTCGACGGCACCTTCGAACGCTCCCAATTCAAACGCCCGAGTAGTGCCGAGATTGGTAACAGAACTACCTCCTCCGAGTCAACTTGATATTGAGTGGTCCCCCGTCCTGACCAAGACCAACGAAAGAATACTCAAATTAGGAAACTGGATGGTTGTAAGCTCTCCCGCCGGCCATAGTCCTGTCTCGAAGAATGGGGGCGGTGAGATCGAAGCGCCGAAAAAGTTTTCGCGGTTCTTCGGCGGCAGTACGACAAAGAAGCGGCAGCGTTTGGTTATGATCACTTCCTCAGGGCGGATCATCATGGCTGCAGCCGGAGGGGACGACAAGAAGGCCAAGATGGAGCTCTCTCTGCTCGCGCAAGGGACGTCGTATCGTAGTACCACGGATTCGAAAGGGTTTTCATGCTGGGTTGTAGATACGGTATGCTGATCGTTACTTCCCTTCAAGCTTTCTCTTACTAAGTTTCATGCGTACAGCGCGACAAACATTTCGTCTTTGAAGACCCCAAGCCGTCATCGAGTACCATGGGTGCGACCGCGTTATCTGTCCAAGAATGGGTGGATACGCTAGACCGTGCGAAAGAGATGGCTCTCGCTCAACAGAGCAACGGGTCGTACTCTGATGAGGCATTCAGAGATTTGTCTTCTGGATTGTCCAGCCACGCTAACACACTGGATCGAAGCTCGGAGCTTCAATCCGAGGGCGGCCCGTCTGGGCGCGCAACCTTGGTCAAACCACAGCCTAACGACTCTGACTCAGTCAAAGGGCGGAAAAGATTTAGCAGACGCCATTCTAAGAACGGCCTGGCGGCAGTCTTCTGAGCAGCTCTTCCTATCGTTGACGATGACAGTTCATTCTCGAAGGGTCTATCCTCCGCTCATTGGGTTTCTCTGCTGTCGGTCCCATTACTCTTCGAGCCGGTTGCCTAGCTATTAGCCCCCAAACCTCCGTCGCCTCTTTTACCTCGACCCAACCCTATGACGACGGCGATATTTGCGCCCTCCAAAACGGTGTCGTTAGACGCCATACATGTTCTTCTTGCTTGACCTGTCTCGTTTGACTTGTGGATATCCGAGACTCACATGTGGCCTTCTCCAGCCGTATATTCTCCCCTGAGCATTCCATCGCTTCTCTTTTGTTCGCAACTGTAAGGATTCCCTTTGTCTGGTTGAAAGATCTACTTTGATATTGCATTTCTGCAATGATGAGCGTGTTTTTCGAATCGATATTTCTGCATCTAGATTGGCAGGCGTATGCATCTGTCGCTCGTCGTACTGTTTGATGTTTGTTCTCTTCTCTTCTCATCTGCCTCCTTTTCTTGACTTCTCTTCTCCGCCGACCTCCCGAGCTATATACGGGAAAGGGACTCTTAAAGCCTGGTCGAGCTTCTGCTTAATCATGGAACAGAATAAGTCCGTGCAAGTGGATGTCTTCTCTGACTATTGCTCCTACCTTCGCACTTTTGCTGCCTCAGGTTGCTTTTCTGTTATTATACCATTCGGTTTGTTACACTGAGCGGGTTTTTTGGTTCTCGAGAGATCTTTCTTTCTTTCCTTCCCCCTTCATCTCTTCCCCTGTTCCCCTATGCAAACTCGTCCTCCTTTAACCAAATGATGATATCTCTCCTTTCCTCATTTCCTTCAGGTCCTGTCTCGTCCCATCCATACACATTGCTGTTCCTGTTACATAGCTTTTGTCAATGCGATCATATAGTCGAGCATGATGTTCGGCCTCTATTGTCTGAATAGTTGCTCGACCCTTTTGATCTATTACAGGGATTGCTTTCACAGTTGCCACTGCAGGGAGTTGGACAAATCAAACAATTGTATCTTACTGATTCAAAGAGTGACACGATAGACAATTAAAGACAAATATCACCAGGTCCGCAAATCGATCACTTACAACCCTCTTAGATTTAAATTTGTCTATATACTAGGCAGTTCACGTGATACACAAATATGTACTCATGAGCATGACGAAAGGGACGCTACTTCGTCAAGCAAGCAAGGAGAAAAAGTATCATATAAACAGCCAATCGATTCGTGAATCATCAAGTTCCTGTATCCAATCAAAATCATCGTCGTCATAGTCAGTCGTCAAAGGCGAGCGGGGCGACTTGTCGAAGAGCTCGTCCTGTTCTGCACGTCGCCTGTTCCGCTCCTCGCGCCGTTGATCGCGTTTGCGCCACATCAGGCTGAGCACCCACGCTGCGTTGCGGACGTTAACGCTCGTTATGTCGTAGTAAAGAGCGCGGAGTTTCTCGAGAAGGAAGGGGCGGTGCGCGGGATCGCGGCATTCAGCGCCCGCGATAAACGTGGGCCAGATAAGGCACTTGAAGTGTGGATCGGCGACCGGGATGAGTGCAATCTGGTGGATGAGGATGTTGGTTACTGCGCCATGATCTGGAGGAAGACTGAACGAGGTGGTAATCATTGAATTACGTTCTGACCGTGGGCGGGAGAGGACGCGGCTGGCGTAAAGATAGACGGCGGCCTTGTATATGGTGGCGAGGGCGATGCGCATCGATAGATCCTCGAGGTAGAGACAAGACTGCATTGATTCGGCCCACGCAACTGGGTCAAGGGCTTGTATGTGTTCGAGGAGGGCCTCAGGAGATTGGAGCGGCTTGGAGTCGTCGGGCAGGAAGACTGAGGAAAACGACGTTGTGTGTTGCAAGATAGGATCCTTGTCAGGCGCCACAAAATGTCCAGCCTCGACGAAAAAGATGACTTCGAGCAGATAGGCCGGGCAACCGACCCAGGAGGTCTCTTCTAGACGCTTTAGAACCGCTGGGCCCATAGTGGAGGAATAGAAAGGCTGTGTGAGAGAGCCGGGACGCGCAAGGGTGGATCCCATTAGCTGAATTCTGGCAACTATTCATCAGCCCTAGTCTAAGCAGATGGATTGACGAGGAAGCGGGAAGACATACAGCAGACAACCATCAATGGCAAAGGTGTCCAGCCAGTTCATCATGCCCTGCGCCGGAACCGGAGACTTTGATTGTTGCCGGCTCTTGAGTAATTTCTTCGCCCCTTCCAAATGATACTTCCAAGCACCGTCTCCTGATTCAATGGCGTCCATGAGAGCGAGAACCATAATTGCTGCCAAGGTCCGGTTGTCGTTACGCATGACTGGATCACAAATGTCAAGCGAAAGCTGACGAAGAGCGCGTTGCTTGAAGCCAAGAAAGTGCTCGTAGTCCTTGGAAGATGGACGCCTGGCCATGGAGCTGATCACAGCTCGCTCCACCTCTTCCGAAGAGAGTGCCGTGCCGCCATCTCCCGCACCGTCTGTGGACCAGGGCAACGAGAACTCAAGGTTTGTCAAGATTGCATGGTGTAGTGCCCCTGTGGCAGCGAGAGCATGGGCGAGGACAGGGGAATCGCCAACCAAGAAGGTCAAATCACGGTACGGATTTCGGACATCGGAATACAACGCAAGATAGCTCACTAGATGCTGGTTGACTGATAAAGGCGGATTGTTAGACAGATCCACATCTGTTACTGAAGGCAGGAAAGGCAGGAGGGATTAATGACGTACAGTGAAGGATGTAGAACCTTGACAGCGGGCTGAGGTCTTTCAACACAGGGTCCACCAGTCCCCAAGGCGTCGGGATATAGATAGCGGCAGGAGTAGTACAATGTGTGGAGACCAAGCCGCCAGCGGTGCTTATTACAGCCTCGCTGATAGACTCAACATCTGACGCAGTTGACGTTTCATCCGCCCTACATGCCGCAAGTCTGTCCGATTCAATTGGAGCATGAGCTTCCGTGGTGGGCGGTGGCATCGCACCGTCGGCGAGCGTGGTATTCGCATCGTGGATATCAGTCTTTTGAGCTGTTGCAGCACCCATGACATCGTCAAAACTGCGTCCCATCATCTTTCCTCGACTAGCAACACCACCCTTGACCCAGACAAGAGGTTTACGATATCCCAGGCACTCTTTCCCCGCATCCCGACATTTCCGACAAGTGGGGAGGCCATTGTCGCAGATAATGCGGCGGCGACGGCAGGTGTAACAACCTTTGGTCATGACTTGAGAGATGACATAGACTAGCGGCTGGTAGCGCTACCTTATGCTATGCTGGACGGACTGCTATCCTGTACAACCGAGATGAGAATATCCAAGCATGACACTCGCCATTATTGAGCAGGGTGTCAGGAAAAGTCGAAGGCCGTGTACGCTTTCTCAACCCACCAAACCATCTCTTAACGTGGATGAGACTGTAAATTCAAGTAAATTAGAATGCTCCGCAGGATACTTCTTTGAGATGACAGATTACCCGACGCCTGGACGGAGACATGAAAGGAGAAGTTCGAGGACAATGACGATTAATAATTCCGTATCGATAACTAGTTAACTAACTGCTGGGGCTATCGGATGAGTCATCATTCATCACTAAGCTAGTTACGCTGAAGCGGGTTAGATCAAAACACTGGCCTTGTTTCATACGCCTCAATACCTAAATTACGGAACCAGATACACATGTACTATGTAGGCCCGCAATATCAACCTTAATGGTATTATTGGAAGATTCTTAATTCTTATGATTATGCTTGAAAGGTAGTTTATTTTGTAGAAGAAAATAAGGCATGTAGTTTACCCTACTGTGTTGTGGAGTCGATCCTCCATGGTACAGAAGCTCCGTAGTCGGTAGTCTACCAAGCAGGTAGACGGACGTATGTACTTCTAGATGATGTGCCTCTGTGTGGATATTTGACGCTTGACTGCTACGGAGTACTGCTTCCGTCTCCTGTTTCAGCTTCTGAAGTTTGCTAATGGTTTTTTTGTTTTGACCTTTCATCCTCGCATCGTCAACCTAGATACTCTCTAGTCTCACCTTAGTCTCCCCACTGAAGTCACTCGGCTTATCCATTCCACGAGGGGCGCAACATATCGCAGCGGGGAATGAATCCACTAAAAATCACAACAAACGCGGTTACTTTCTTTAGTACGATCTTATCAAGCAGTCAATCCCTTTGTTTCCCTGTTTTCAGCCAGATCGCTTGACTTCGATTGGGATAGTCGATATTAAATGAACGCTGCACGCTGGCTGCTCTGGTGTCTGTCACCTAGTGGTCTCCCAAGCGCTTGAAAGCTGAGCTCGAAACAGTGGCCATGATCATCAAGCCTTTTTCCACTTCTGCAGTTGAAATGGTCTCTCAAGCCCAAGTTCTCGAGCGCTCTGCGCCGATGCAAAGCGCACCCTCTTCTGTGTCGCGTCATTCGCATAGCGGTCGCCGCCATCGCTCGAGTCGTTCCCATCATGGTGGTCCTGCTTATCAACCGCAGAATGATTTTCCAATCTTCACCCACACCGGTGATGTTGAGATCGTGATACGCGCCGATGGACAGGAACGACGCTATCTTCTGCATCGATTGATATTGGCGCAATGCTCCGGGTTCTTCGAGGCCAGCACAAGCGAGGGATGGTCGCGACACGGCATATCGAGGCCTCAGCACATCGATATGGGGACCATGTCCCGGATAAGCGAGGATAACTCGTCGCTATCCAACGGATCAACCCTTGCGCAATCGGAGAGCGGCGCAAGCGGAGTTCACCCAGAAAAGAGGAGGTGGAGATACGAGCTGGACTGGGAAAATAAGGCGGAAGACGAAGAACCTATACTTGTCCAAAAGGTCAGTCTGAACAAGATTGATACCAAGTCCAACAACTGACGACGATATGAGAATATAGCAGCCAACGTTTTCCAACGTCGTAGGGAGCGATGCCGTCCACTTTCCACCGTCGATGACCAAACCTTCGAGCGCACAAACCGGCTTCATCCGATCAATGGCAAACCTAGCAGGGATGCAATCCGTGGTCAACCTGCCTCACACGGCAAATACAGCAACTGTGGAGGTGGACCCGATCATCCGTGACTATGACAATCTGTTTCGCCTGTTCTACAACTACCCTCCTCTTCTCAATAGTGTCAACATCGCGACTGCTTATGCCGAGTGCCGATCTCTGCTTGCGCTTGCTGACATGTACGATGCCTTGGCGGTTACTGGACCTCGAGTAGACCACCATCTCCTCGGATTTGGATCTCGACTCTTCAAGCAGATTGCCAAATACCCCCCGAGCTACCTCAAGTTGGGGTACCTCGCGCGTAGCCGGGTCATCTTCTCCGAGGCACTGATCCACGTCGTGGGCCAGTGGCCCGCGGCTCTACCGCACCTTCGCAACGGCTCATACTCACCCCTCCCAAACTCGGTTCTCGACATCATCGAGGACAAAGTCGAGGATCTCGAAGATCTCAGGGCGCGCGCCGACTCGAAGCTTCTGCGGTTGACACTCACCACCTCCCGCGGCGAGCGCGTCACCCCTACAAACGCATACCTTGACTGGCTCGCCGTCTCCCTCTTCCGCCAGTGGCTCGTGGACAACACCACCCCGCCGCCGGCCCCGATCCTCAAAAACCCCTCGACGAACCGTCTGCCCGTCACAAGCGCAAACATCAGCGCCAGCACCAGCAACAGCGCCAGCAACAATACCAGCCGCTGTCCACAAAGCAGTCATCGCACCCAGGAAACCATCTCGCGGGCCTCACCTCCATCGCCCCCTCTCTCCCCAGCACAGGTCTACCGACTCATAGGTTCACCCTCGACCCAAGTCTACCTCTCGCACGACGAACTCAAGAAATTCCTCAAGGTCCACCCCACCCCGTCCGCAGACTCGCTCTACACCCGGGACGTCCTCAAACGCTTCGAGCGCAAAATGGACGAAATCAAGCGGCTGGCCCGGGAAATCGTCAAGCCGCTCCTGAGGAATTTCCTCGAGTTGGACCTGAAGGGTACCGAGCTGGGCGACTCGGCGCTCGGCGCGTTGCCGTATCTCACCTGCACGAAAGTCGAGGATGAAGATATCCCCTGGGATTGAGGGAGACAATAACGACTAATGATGCCTATCCACGCTTTTCCTTCTGATATGATTTGATTATGAATAATGACACAGACACTTATGTATGCGAAAATGGCGGAGTCTTTTGTTTTTTTTTGTTGTTCCTCGTCATGTCGATACGATCACGATACCCCCTGCTATATTATGCCATCTGATTCTAGTTCCTTCCCTTCGTTGATTTGCCTGTCTAAGGGCAATTGCTTTTATTTCCGTGATGTTTGGTGTCCAGATGTGGTGTGGTGAAGTCGCTCATTAGCTTAGTTAGGTTGTAATACACCGAGGTATCAACCTGCTCTTCTCCTTTAGTAAACATGCAAAAAGCAGCGAGCGTTGTTATATTTACGAGCGCCAGATCAACGTGTTCTACATATCGTACAGCATGATACAGCGGAGGCGAGAGAATAGTTCATACAGAAACGCCAGATGGAACCTACGACTTCTCTCCAATAACCTCCAGACCCCCCATCCACTTCCGCAGCACCTCGGGAATCACAACAACCTTTCGTTTCTCATCCCATCCATTCTCCAAAATAGCGGCCAGTACACGCGGAACGGCCATCGCGGTCCCATTGACAGTGTGCGGGAAGCGAGATTCCTTCGCCGAGCCTCCGCGCACACGCGTACCCAGCCGTCGACTCTGGTAATCCGTGCAGATCGAGGCGGAGGTGACTTCTCCCCAGCCGGACTCGAGGTCAGGCGAGGAGCTGCCGCTGCCGGCCGCGGGGGCGCGCAGCCGCGACGGGAAGAGAGCCTCGATGTCGCGTTTGCGGCTGGCGCTGGCGCCGAGGTCTGTGGTGGGCATTTCCAGGACCCGGCAGGGGAGGTTCAGGGTGGTGAGGATCTCAGTCTGGATGTCCAGGAGCTCGGCGAAGAGGTCGTCGGAGGAGCTGGTTGCGGGGACGGTGTCGGCCCAGCCGAAGAGCTCTACCTTGGTGAACTCGTGCACGCGGTACAAGCCCTTGGTGTCCACGCCGCGGGAGCCTGCCTCGGCGCGGTAGCAGCGGCTGGCGCCGACGAGTTTGAGGGGGAGGGTGGAGGCGTCGAGGTCTCGACCGGCGTACATGGCTGCCAGAGGGATCTCGGCTGTGCCGGTCAGGGATCGCTGGGGCTTACTCTTGTCCTTGTCGCTCTGCTCGATGGCCCAGATCTGCTGCTCGTTGTGCTGGTCGCGGGGCTGGAAGCCGCACGCTTCAGCGATGTAGGAGTAGACGATCGACGGCGGTGACACGACTTTCCAGCCGCGGTTGCGGGCCACGCTGAGGGCGTACTGGATCAGCGCTTGTTCCAGCAGCGCCCCTTCGTTTATCAAGAAGTACCAACCCCAGCCTGTGGTGGTCGCAGAGCTTGTAAAATCGATTAGCTCGAGCGCGGTGCCGATAGCGACATGAGATCGAGACGGGTCTGGACGGCTGACCCATTCTGGGGGAGACTGAGGGTCGAAATTGATGTATGTGACAAGCTTTGGGTCGGCTCCGACGGGGGTCTCGGGGGAGGAAAGGTTCGGCAGGGATAGGGCGAACCGTTGGATTTCTTCGGTGCAGGTTGCTCTCCGGGTATTCATTGCATGCGATTCATCCTTCAATCGTTGTGCCTCTGACCGGAGAGATGCCAATTCTTCCTCAATGGCACTGGATGCGCCATCTTGTCGAGCAAGATTCGCTATGGTCTTCTCCAATTGCTTAATGCGGGACCGCGGCGTTTTGAGATCATGATCAAGACGCCTTGCTTCTTCGGACAGTTCTTGGATTTTGTAGGGATAGTCAGCGTGCGCCGGATAATTTCGATCCACGCTGTTTTTTGAGTAGAGCTCTGCGTTCTGGCGGATATGTTTGATGTCTGGGGTGGGTTTCGGAGCGGTTGCGGGACGCAGCAATTCCGAGTTTCGAGCAGACGCAGTGAAGTTGCGTCGGGTGAGCCTGCTCGTCAATCTGCAATTGAGGCAGATGTACGGTGATTTAATCGACGCCATGGCAGGCCGAGGGACGTGGGAGTTATAAATGCGCGGGAGATATGGGCCGATGGAGGAAAAAGATAAGAGCTGAGCTGTCGCCGCCTTTCCTAATTCGGTAATCTTACTTCTAACACTTTTATGGGCTTGATATCGACGTTTCTAATACATATATGATGCATTCCGTCATGAATTTTCTCTGAATTTCCATTAGATAGAGATTATATATGTCAGGTGCGAGAAATATATCCTGTACACAATCTCTCCCATTGTTATCCAGGCCGGCATGTGCAAAACTTCGACAAGCTGCCCCTGTTCCCCATGTGCATTCATTCGGACGGCCTAGCAAATTATCGGAAGGCAAATCGCTCTAGAAGCCTAATTTGTGCTTCTTGATTCTGGCACCGACTCCTGCGACGACTAACATTGCTGCGACAAGAACTCCCCAAAGCGGAATGTGCAGAACATCCACATTATACGTCGTCTGCGTTGCCGCTGCCACGGTTGCTAGTTCCAGGATAAGCAGCGAGTATCCAAAATGGCGGTGGTACTTGTACAGTCTCTTGCCCGCATCAGCGCTGCCAAGGATCGTGACAGGGAGGAAATACTGAACAAGTCCCAGCAGTGCTTGAAGGATGATGCAGATGTAGGTGATTAGTCCGAAGATACCATGCGGCGATGTCAGCCGCGGATGATCGCCCTTGTTGATCTCGATGATGGTGAACGCGGTGACGAAAGCAGCCAGGCTGATTGCTTGGAGCGAATAGTGGATTCGAGTGCCCAGGAGCTTCTGCTGCGGCGTCGCGGTTGGCTGTAGGATAAGAGCGGCTTGCACTTGGAGAAGTATAGCGGAGGAGTTGAGTAGCTATAGAAATTAGGCATCTCCCATAGTATCATCTATAACTCGATGTTATGGTCAACGTACCGGATGAGCAGAGAAGAAGATCAAAGGATGGGAGAATATGCCAGCCCAGACGAGAGCCACAAGCTAGTAAACCGCGTCATCACAGTGAACACCAGAAGACAGCCATGCAATCCGCTGCAGGGGTTATCTTACAAGCAATATGCCGCACTGAGCAACAGTGGCAGTCCCTGTAGTCGATGAATTAGTATTAAGCCAGACAACGTCGCATTCAGCAGCGCATACCTTTGATCAAATTGCGGTAAATAGGGTCCCTATCCCTTTGCGTTACTGCACCTGGTCCACCCAATAAAGGCTCATCTTCTCTGGCCTCAATGGTCTGAGGATGTTCTTGAGGGACTCCTGTGGCAGAGGCCATGATATCACTGCAGAGGTCGGTTATCGTCTTCCAGATAGTCTTCGAGGTACGAAGATATTTGTTATTGAAAAAAGATAAGAGGTTCAACTGGTAGTCTGATGGTTAGATGCTTGCAGCTTATAATAACAGGGTGGGCAGGTCAATGACGAATTCAAGGGCGCCGATTGCCAATCCATGCGGAGAAGAGGAGGAAAATCGAAGGACCTGGAATGTCTCCTTACATGCCACTAAGCCAGCCGATTCTACAGGACGAGAAATTCAATATCAATGATTTTATATTAGATTCGAAGCAGACTCAATATTGTACCACCAAACAAAATCAGAAGCGACCCAGAAATGAACCATAAAATCAAAATGGAAGCCAAAATCAACAACCTCATCGTCCTCGATCTGCTGCGTAGTTAGCAGAACATAAACCCGACCTCACAGGTAGAAAATGGGAAAAGACGTCCTAAAAGATGATTAACAGACAAGATTAGCATTGGTCTGCAGCATTTTTGCAATCACAATCATCCGGAAGTTGGGACTTGCAACCATACCAATGTTCGTTGGCAAGTCTGCAGGACTCATGGTCGCACTCATGGCTGCAGAATCTCTCACGAAGATGGTCGTTTAGCTCATCCTCGTCACTGTCGCTATAATCCATGTCAGTGTCAGTATCACTGTCGCCAGCCTCTCCGCCAGGGCTCGCTGGGCACGAGAATCCGTCCGTCTGCAGTTGGGGCCTAGTAAACATCTCGAGGATCGGGGATAGACCGGCCTGGTCGTCCTGGGCTTCCTCCTCCCCCAAGGCTGCAAGCTGCTCTTCGAGATCATCCATCACTTTGCTGATGATACCTGCCTCTTCAGGGTGCGCGTTCTGCAGGTCTGTCTGTTCCTCGAGGGCGGCGACAAGGGTGTCGCGCTCGTTTGATAGGTCTTGGTAGGCAGACATCTTTATATTCTGAGATAGCAGCGGGGTTAAATCGTATTGATGAAAGGTATTCGAAGAAGAACTGATGAGAATCAGGATTATGATGATAGTGAAGGCATTCCAAGCGCAGTCAAGGCCATTATATAGACCGACGAGGACAAACATCTCGCCTTCATCTGGGATAGATAGGATTGTCTCATTCGAGACATTGATTGATGCAAGTCGGGGCAGTGTGTCTCAAAAATTTGTGCATAATGGAACTGTTGAGAGTGCCATTGTTGTCTTGCACAATGCGTTGTCTACATTTATATGTCTTACAACATTCAGACCCGTTTTGGGACAAACAACGCGAGAATGAGCGCATCATTGAGTAAATCCAAATGAGAACGGGACGTATCTAGAGACATTGAGAAGACATCAATGATCTTGAAACCGCAATCCAACACTGTTATGCCCAAGGCATCCGTATCACAGCAGTCTCCTCCCCAGAACCTGGTCGACCAACGACAAGTTCCGCGCTGAGATTGTCTTTCTCCAGATTCATAATGATATTGAAAATGGTCTTAGACCGCACCGCAGGACCCCGGTTAGGATCCTCCGAGCAGCAGATAGCCTGTGGCGCATTGAAAGTATCCGAGAAGATCTTGTCCCGCAGGAGACTCGGAGTGATCTGAGAGCCGGCGATTCCGCCCCCGATCAGCTCCCGAAGGAGCTGGCGGGCTCGATCCAGTCGAATTGGAGAGCCGGAGAGCCATGGAGGCTCGTACACGTTCCGATTCTCGATGAAGTGGTTAGTGTGAGTGATAGTTCCCAACTCATCTTCCTCGAGATACACATCTCCCACCGGCGAGAGTTCAAGTCCCAGTGCGGTCGTGCTGTCTGCAACTAGGATGTGCACACTGCAAGCTATACCACCCAGCCCGGAGATCCTTTCGGCCGCCGTCTGGGCAGATGGGCTCTCAAGACAGAGGCGGAGCGCCACATGGATAGGGATTTTTGAGGTGATGCACGGTTTCGCCCGAATGGCGTTGAGGCAAACGCCTACACCTGCGCTGTTGAACCCAATCTTTCCAACAATACCAGCCTGTTTTGATATAGTGTTAGTCTGTATTGACAAATGAAACTGCCAAGGGTAGACCAACCTCGGTAACCATATAGACTTTTGGTTTGCCGGGCTGTTCGATTGACATGATAGCGATATTCTTCCCCGCAGCGGGAGCCCAGTCCCAGTTCTGAGCCAGGACTCGTCCATCGTCATGTTTCTTCCAGGATAGACTTGTGCAGCCATCGGAGAAACTGCCCATGGCAATTTCACTGCGACAGTTCAGCGCCACAATATCGAGAAGATCTACCCCGGCTCCCTCTGCTATACCCTGCATCTCAGCGTAGATGTCGCGCACTTTCTTCTCCAGTGATTCACGGAACTCCACGGCGAGATTTCTGACATCGTTCCAGGACATCTTGGAGGTCTCCAGGAACATGTCTCCGTAGACTCTGATTTGGTCCCGGATCTGCTGTGATAGGAGTCGGCCATGTTCAAGTCCGATCTATCAGTCACCAAAGTCAGCTCATACTTCGCGGGAGCAAAACAAGCAGATGTAACGAAAACAATTGTCGGGAAGCATTTACTTCTCTTGGAGAGCCCTTGAGCTCCAATCTGGGCGGTTCTTCGATGTGAAGCTGCATTGTGAGGAACGGCACGTAGGTGACTTTATGAGTATACCACGAGAGCTTCAACGCCTGGTATCTGCAGTTTCAGGATGGAAAAAGATGGAAACTCGATGATTTATAAGAATTTGGGGTAGATCGTCCCCTCATTTGGTTGGCTGTTTTCCGGGAGATCGGATTGTGTTCGGAGATAGTTGGTCGTCCTGCGTTGTGGAGCTACGTATACTTACCCACCCTAATAGCTTCATCATTATTCTTCTAATTTGCAAAGGAGTTCTGATATTTCTTGACTAATTTTTGAACTTGAATTTCTGGGAATTCTGCATCTGTGCCATCTTATGTCATCTATGATAGGCCACGCTACGTCTAGTATACTCCAAAACAGGCGAATATGGCCTCCGTCACTATCATTCACTGTCATCGCACACAACCACAAACAGCATCATGCCCTATCCAAGCCCTACAACATTCACTGCCTCAGGTTTGTTGATATCGTGCGTGCACCTCGCGTCTAATCTCGCGTCTAATCTCGCGTCCATATACCACCCTACCACTCCATCCCTCCTACCTCCTCCTAACAACTACTGCATGCAAACCTCAATAATCAACACCATGTCTGCTGAAACCCTGTAACACTTTCTTTACCAGCTCGATCTCCTCAACCCAGCCTGCCCTTGCTACCCTCCAGACCGCATCTCTTTGAGCCAAACATCATAAAGCGACAATCCTAAAATGGCCAACACAGAGCAAGAACGCCAGAAGATCCTAACCACCCTCTCGCACATCTTCTGGTCCAACACCGACGTCTCCACCGGCATCACCCACAAGCCCTACGGCGTGGACTGGATCAACCTCGAAAGAAACATGTACCGCCTCTGCGTTCTCCAAGGCAAGGTCCGCGACGGCGACAAGGTCCCCGAGGATCCATGGGAGATGTTCCTGCGCGAGTTTGCGCCGCTCACGAAACGCCCCGCTGGTCAACGACAGCCCTCGACTGCGTACTTTCCCAGCTCGATTTTGCGGTCTTCGGGGGGGAATGCGAATGCAAACGTGGATGCGAATGCGAATGCGACTGCCAGGGCGGGCCAGGACGGCCAGTATCATGTGCGTTTCGAGGTGCCTTTGCTGCGTCGCTCGGATGAGAATAGGCGGAACTTGGGCCGTATCCCGCGTTACTTGAACTGAGGGCAGGCTGGGGCTTGGTTCTGTCGTTCCTTGACGTCTTGTGAGATTGTGAGTACGTTTTGTCTGGATGGTGGGCGGAAGCTGACACGGTTTGCAAGCGTTTTGTCAAATCGCAATCAAATTCGATCTGCTGGCGTTGTTTGTGCTATAGCGGGATGGCTGGCTGGCTTGGTAAGGATATGCAGTGGACAAATATCAGCGTTGTGCGTTTGGAATGGAATGGTCATGGCAATATTGGTTCTGTACAATAGTCGCTTGCTTTGTGCGATGTAAACGCATCCGTTCTGTGACTGTATGTATTCTGAGTTCTGTCTTCCAATATCTGTCATACATCATTCAACTCTATTCAGTATGCAAGGATCTATTCCTCCAGTGGCATATGGAAACGCTTAAGAATCCTTGATCAAATGCTTGAACAGCTTGTCAAGGTAATACGCAGATTGCTTAGGGTGCCGAGTCTTCTCTGGTGAATCAAAGTCGATAAAGGTACACCCGAACCGATCGGTATAGCCCGCAGCCCATTCTGCGCTATCATCAGCATTGCAATTTCACACGAGACAAATAAGCTTACCCCAGTTATCGGTGAATGTCCAGGCAAAGTAGGAGCGGATATCAACCCCGTCCTCCTTGACCGCACGAGCTAGTGCCCACCCGACATATCCCTCGAAGAACCTGATGCGGAACTGATCGTTGAGGACTCCGGGCGTAGGCGCTGTCTCGCCCTTGGCTGTCGTCCCGTTCTCCGTCACGTAGATGGGCATCTGGTACCGAGACCAGATCCAATTCAGAAGCTTTCGGAAGCCCCAGGGGGCAGCCCGCAGCCACTCCGTGTCACTCTCTTCGCCTCGAGGGTCACCCTGTTTGTTGAAATCATGGATCTCCACGTTCCCCTTGTGGTCGTTGATGTCCGCAGGCGTGGTCTTGTGCTTGACGAAGAACGACGTGTACGTGTTCATGCCGTAGAACTCGGAACTCCCAAGCACCAGCTTCGACTCCTCCGGCGTGAACTTGGGCAGACGGTCACCCAGCTGCGCCCTCATGGAGGCCGGATAATCGCCCGTCTTGTAGAGCGGGTCCGCGAACCAGGCAATCTCGAACTCGCGCGCGCGCTCAGCGGCTTCTTGATCCAGCGGGTCGGCTTCATCCCATGGCTCGGACCAGTTCCCGTGAAGCGTGATGCCGATGGTCCCCTGCTGATGGGGCTGAAACTCCTGCTTGTAGAGACGCGACACGTGTCCGTGGGCGACCAGCTCCGTGTGCGCAACGATGAATGGCTCGGTGGACGAGTCGCCCTCCTCGTTGCGGTCCCGGAAAGAGGAGCGACCCGGTGCGTGAACGCCCGCCGCATATCCAGCCAGCGTATAGACACCAGGCTCATTGAATGTGATCCAATGCTTGACGCGGTCGCCGAGTCTCTCAAAACAAACACGAGCGTAATTGACAAAGTCCGGCACGAACTTTTCCTGGTTCAGCATGCCGCCGTAGCGATCCTCCAAGGCTTGCGGCGTGTCCCAGTGGAAGAGCGTGACAAACGGTGTGATACCATTACGGAGCAGCTCGTCAACAAGATTCGAATAGTATTCAATCCCTATCTCGTTGACAGGGTCGTCGCACCCTCCGAGAGGAATGATGCGAGACCAAGAGAGGGAAAAGCGGTATGCATTGACCCCATACGACTTCATGAGCGCCACATCTTCCTTGTACAGCTCGTACGAGCGCACCGCATCGTCGGCAGTGCTTCCGTCCTTTACCTTACCAGGTGTGTGCGCAAAAGTATCCCAGATTGATTGGCCTTTACCATCTTTATTCCAGGCCCCTTCCACCTGGGCCGCCGCGGTGGCATAACCATGAAAGAAGTCGCTCCTCAAGACTCCTTTGAGATCTTGGACGGATTGCAGGTCCATGTCCAGTCGCTCCAGGTCTTTTGGCGGTCTGTTTCTGGATAGTCTAAGCCAAGTAGAGACTCGTGCAGGAGTCAGAGGAACTCGTAAATGAAAGGCTTAATTCAGCGATGATTGAATACCAGATTCCGTCCACGGTTCTCGTGACAATTTGGCAGGTTTATTTGATCAGGCTTGCTTGCTGTCATTTAGATATCCGGCTAAATTGGAACATTTAGCTCGTCAATTGGCCGATCTACTCCACCACTCTGTCTCTTTATTGCTGGATAATTCCATCTGGGCACCAAGTGGGGTATCCAAAGAGGGGGAAATAAATGATGTATCATACATCAGATCACTCATTGAAACCTTACAAGTCAGTTGAAAGGAGGACGATGTGCCTGATTCCCCGACCGGATCTAAGACAACGCTACGCTGTCTTTGATGATAGAAGGATTGGGAGGGGACAGATCATGGCGATTGGCGCTCCATCCCACCTGGGAAGCCATCCTGGCCCCTTGGAGTCCCCGTGAAGGCAGCGAGTAGGATGTGCCAGTTGCCATTGCCTAGATTTCTGATTGTATGTCGCTACTATGATTAAAGAGACAGTCGAGCTTCTTGACACTTATATAGCCACACGCACAGTGCGGAAGTCAAGGCTGAATCCTATGAGATCCCCTGCTCTGGATCTCGATCCGAGGTCCATTGTTAGGAAAGCAAAGGACTGTTTTACGGCCGAATTCCGAGTAGATAGTCACAGCATCCTTTATCTGACCGTTTTCCCAGCTGAAATCTAACTTGAACCCTCCACGAGCGCAGATGTTCCGAAGTGACCCAGAACTCCAGGCTCTCGGGCAAGCGGGAAGGAGTCTAATAATTCCCTCCTCATGGGATTGAAGGAGCATCTCCAGGATACCTGCGCCGGCGCCAAAGTTACCGTCGATCTGGAACGGTGGGTGCGTGTCCAATAAGTTGGGCAGGGTTGACTGCGCCAATAAGAGATCAAGGTGCTTCGCACACTCCTCAGCTGCCAGCAATCGTGCATGCAGATTGATTAACCATGCTCGACTCCAGCCGGTATGACCGCCTCCATGGGCCTGACGTCTGTGCAGCACTACAGAGCAGGCCTCGGCTATTTTGGGTGTTGTTTCCGGGCTGATGGTATCTCCAGGATGCAAGGCCCACAGGTGAGAAACATGCCGATGACCGGGCTCTACTTCCGCATAGTCCGAAGCCCATTCTTGTAGTTGCCCGAAAGAGCCGATGCGCAGGGGTGGAAGTCGGCGCAGGGCGTCTAATGCTGCCGGTGCAAGCTCAGCGTCTATTTCTAACTCTTCGATACTTTTCAGGTAAGCGTTCAGGACAGCATTCACAATCTGAATATCAATGGTGGAGCCTTCGCACAGGACGCCGCGCTCTCCATTTTTATCATAGAACGTGTTTTCGGGCGACAATGACGGATTCGTGATCAAATACTCTCCGGATGCATCTTCAATCAAGAAATCAAGAAGAAATTGCACGCATCCTTGCAGAATTGGAAACATTCTCTGGAGGAATTCCTTGTCGCGAGTGAAACGGAAATGATCCCAGATATGAACGCAAAGCCAAGCACCTCCTAGAGGCCAAAGTGTTGCTGGCATCCAAGTGTCTACAGGAGAAGTATCAGCCCAAATATCGGTGCAGTGGTGAGCGACCCAGCCACGGCAGCCGTACATCTTCTGTGCTGTCTCCTCTCCTGATTTTGCAACGCGCTCTAGTAGAGAGAATAGCGGCATCTCACAATCGGAGAGATTGCAGACATTTGCCGGCCAGTAGTTCATTTGCAGATTAATATTTATCGTGTATTTACATCCCCAGGCTGGATGGAAGGATGGATTCCATATACCCTGTAGCGTCGCTGGTAAGGCTTTGTCCTCATCCCGACTGCACGATATCAATAGGTAGCGACAGTAATTATGGTAGAGTGCTATTAGACCAGGGTCATGCGAGTTCTTGATTCTCTTATCAGTTGGCATGCCACAGTTGTTGGGCCTCAGGTGCAATTCCATGCGACCATAGAGTGATCGGTAGTCGTTCACATGCCGCTCCCAGATCTCGTCAGTGGAGTGCAGCAAAGCTATCTCCAAATCAGAAGAAACCTTCTTGTCTATATCGTCGCAACGGTAGGTGGTTTGTGCCGAGATTAGCACCAGCGCATCTTGAGCATTGACCAGCAGTTTGTTCCCCACTTGAGTAATAGAACCCTGATCGTCCGCTGTGCGAACTTTGACCATGCAACAAGCTCTGTTGCTCTTGTGTCCACCCGGGGTGATATGCATGGTAATTGTCCGGTCTTGTGCCGTGACGTCGTCGAGATATTCATTTGTTTCGTATTCCAACTCACTCATGCGAGTGAGCCGCAAGGCAAACTCCGTTTTCCGAGATGCCTGAACTCGAATGKCAATCACACCGTCGGGATTGCTGGCGATGATTTCCCGCTGAAGCTTTACGCCTTTGTGCTCATATTCCACACGACTGATAGCACGCTCAATATCCAACGACCGTCGGTAGTCCCGCACATATTCGGGGGCATGACCAAATTCCAGAAACAGAGTCCCCAAGGGTTCGTAATGCCGTTGACTAATGGGATGAGAGAAGAAGGCCAGACGAACCAGCTTCTCCGCTTCTGCGTGGTTTCCCTCTCGGATCAACGACCTGAGACGTGGGAGATACTCAAATGCATCACGAGGAACACGATCTTGGGGACCTCCATACCAAACCGAGTCCTCATTGAGCTGTAGCATCTCTGTATCGGCTCGCCCATAGACCATGGCGCCCAGACGGCCATTGCCCACTGGCAATGCTTCCTCCCAGTTGCCAGCAGGCTGCTGGTACCAGAGTTCCGACATTATGGCGTGCAATATCCATCCAAACGGCCAGTCATCTTGTTTAATCAACAAGTGTTGACCTTGATCGTGGTCGTGGATTTATCCTAGTGACTGACCCATGTCGGTCGAGTCGGGCCGCGAACCGTGTCTGGTGGAAAGATCAGATAACCATGGCTAGAACACCAGGACAAGAAGCCAAGCTATCGACGCTAAAGGAGGTTTTAGTGAAAAATGCGGAGATTTGTCCGTGGAGGAGGAAATGAATAAGAAGCATTATCCTAACCCGAACAGGTGTGAATCCGAGCGGGGAACTGTCAGTGTCAACAAAGCAGGATTCAAAGAAAAAGAAGCCCAAAATTCCAAACAGACGATGCAGCAGGAACAGGTCATGTGCCTCTAGTCCTCCACCACCCAACTAAGCCCCCCCCCCGTCTTGTTATCGACGGTAGAGTTATCGAATGATTGTGTTCTTTGCTTTCTTCAATATGGATTGAGCAATTAGATTCAAATACCTGCTCTGAGAAGATATACACGAGACGGACATGGTCTGCTCCCACCGTCCAAGACCGTTGTTCTACCCCAGGTTAGGAATCCCCCAGATCATGAACCGCAGTCCAAGTCCTTTTGTAGCTAACATGAGCTAGCACTGCCTTTTTAGCTTCGCGGAGTACAGCACTAGCCATTTAGACTGCTAGAGACGCGACCGGACTCGCCTTGTGTCGTCCATTAGCCTTCCATCGAAGTAAGGGAGTCACCTCAATGGCGGAAAATTACCAGCCACAATAAGAAAACCATCATGGTCAATCTCGCAAACAGGTCATGATTGGCATTCTAGGGTCAGCCATGTTATTGACTCTCTGCGGCTAAATTCACGAGCTTTATCCGCGGGCTATCTACTGGTGCCATTCAAACCATTCTTTCAACCATACCAACTCCGTGGCGAAAGAGGAGCAAGGACCTAAACCAGTCGACATGTGTTTGTCGCACAAGCAGCGTCCGACCGACATGATCGGCGACAATCTCATATAGTGGTGTGACCCCAGTAGGCGTCAAGGGGTCCGTATCCTCGTCAGTGCCTTATTCTTCTTCTCTTTGCTGTTTAGTCATCCATTTCAAGGGGGTTTCGTTTGCCTCACACGGCCTTTGGTCTAGTGAGTGCTTGAGCCCTTCATAATGGGTAACCCGATCGATGTCACGGCCACAAATGAGAGCGAATTGGATGTGAAGAAGGATGAAGCTCATATTGAAGAAGTCGTGCTTGCCAACCTGACCGAGGAGGACGTTTTTAGGATCTCCCGGGAAGCACTAGATCTTCGGTCTTGGGCTGGTTTCCGCTTATTCTTGATCCTTTTCGTTCAGGGATGCAATCAAGCTGGGTATGGTATTGACTGGGCCGTTATCAGTGGCATCAATGCCTTGCCAGCATGGCACACCTATTTCGGATTTGGAACTAGCGGAGGCACATACGGCTTGCTCAATGCCTTGATGAATATTGGCACCGTCTGTGGAGCCCCGTTTTTGTCGTTAGCGGACATAATCGGTCGACGGGGTATCAACTTTCTCGGCAACTTCATTGTGATCGTGGGCGCGGTTCTCCAGGGCTGCTCTGTGAACCTCCAAATGTTCATGGCGGCCCGGTTCCTCCTGGGATTCGGATCTGCGCTCTTGTCCAGCTCTCAATATGTGGGCGAGGTCGCCCCGACCCACCTCCGTGGCTTAATCGTCGGCATTTTCGGTGCATGTTTCCAGATAGGCAGTCTGGGTATGACCGGGGCCTTGATTGGACTGACCAAAATGGAAGGGAACTGGAGCTGGCGAGTCCCACTGCTTCTGGAAGCCGTATTTCCCGCTATAGTCTGTGCTACCATCTACCTCATCACCCCCGAATCGCCCCGTTACTACATCATGCGAGGGAGGAGAGACGCTGCCAAGCGAATGGTTGCAAAGTATCACACCACCAGCGGCGATATCAATGAGCCCATTGTCGAGATTGTCGTATCGCAGATTGAGGCGTCGCTTGAGCGTGACCGGACAGGCTTCAATCAGTTCTGGGATTACCGGGTCTTTTTCACGAAAACGGCCCGCTTCCGACTACTTGTTCTCTTCCTCTACTCCGTCTTCCAGCAGTGGAATGGTGGAGGTATCATTACATACTACGTAAGTCACCCCTAGGGCCCTAAGGCCTCTGGACTGGGGCCGTGAGGTCTTGCTTCTCAATTTGACATTGTGCTACTGCAGATGGTCCCCGCTCTGGAAACGATCGGAATCAAAGGTTCGAGGCAGCAGCTCGGTATCCAGCTTGGCACCACAGCCGTCTACTTTGTGTTTACCGGTGTAGGAGCGCTCATAATTGACAAATTCCGCAGACGGACGTTGATCTTCTCGGGACTCGCAAGCATGATCCTCTTCCAGTTTGCTGCTACAATCACGTCCTGGCAGTTTAATGTCACGGGAAACACCGCAGCCGCTGCGTTGACTATCCTTTGGATCTACCTCTACCAGACCTTTTCCGCTATGCTGATTGCCACCATGCACAACCTGTACCCGGTTGAGATCCTGTCTCTGCCGCTCCGTGCCAAGGGAATGGGTCTCTACGGGTTGATCCAGGGCGGTGCGGGAGCCGCCCAAACATACGGCATCAGTGTTGGGATCCAGAAGATCGGTTACAAGATCTGGGTGGTCTATATCGTCTACAACTGTATCCAACTCGTTCTGTCGTACTTTGTCTTCCCAGAGACATATGGGCTGTCTCTCGAAGAAATTGACGCCGTGTTCGAGACGCCTGGCGTGGCGCCCGTCAAGATGTCTCTGGACATCCAGAAGGCGAAGAAGGAGATGGCGGCGGCCACTCAGGACGAGGAGGTTCGACACTGAACATCATTATACTAGATGTATGTTATGGCTGTATCTATCTCAATCTGTGCATTTGGGTTTTATGAGTCTCATGATATAATGATCGGCTATATAACCAAGCCTCCGCCAATAAACTACATACTTTCAAGTGACACTCAACTTCCACAGTATATGAGACTTCAGGCCAACGTTTAGATCCAGGTATAGATACTCATGTTCAAGGTAATCCTCAAATCCAACATTGACCGCCTCGATAAGGATGGGTATACCCCTTGTACTATAAATAACACTACCTACTCACCTGGAAGCAAACATCATCCACGACCGCTGCCACACCGACGTACATCCAAGATAGCTCTGCATCTACCGACATATTCCAATACCGACCCTACAAGGGCAAGAGCGCCACCGCACTAGACCATGTCCATATATTCTTCAGAAGCTCGAGCCTGGAGGTTCGATTGCACAGCATACGCAAGGAGCCCGTTGCCGGGTGTAGCATTGCGGGCGGGTATGATTGCGTCTGACAGTTGAGGACGTGGATTTTGCAGTCCAAGTGAACAGGAATGTCTCTTTTTTTCGACTAGCTGGGCGCTGTTAGTGTCTGATCAAACTCAGTCAGTGTTGGTCTGGTTTCCCCTAAAGCGAAAAGAGTGCGGCAGTTCTACTGTAAAATGATACTGCCAATATTCCCGAATTCGGATCCGACGTGAAGGCACGTTGAATATCCCCTATTGACGAGGGCGTTTAAAGGGTACCACTTGTTTATACGACCATGACTCGAATGTGACACAACAACGCATCCAACGGCTACCTGCAGACCAAGTCTGGAACGGGGTGTTAAGCCACGCTTAACTGGAAGTTAAACGGGCTGGAGAGCAAATCAAACGTCCCTGAGAGCAGCGCAAAGAAATGTTCTGGGTCGATATCCCTGCGCGTTTGCCTCGCGACGGGGATCATGGAAGCCATGATCATGGCCGATTGGGCTTCCGTCCAGGACTAATAGCACGGCCACCTACGGTTAAGATCGCCCTATTCCCTCCTTCCTGAGAGCGCTAAGACCGACAGTGGCGAGAGGAGAAATTCTATTGTTGTTCTTAGAAGGTAACCCTGGTCTGTGTGTAACAACCGGATCCCATGGCTAACAACCGAGTCGGCTGGCTTTATTCGGCTGACCAATGTTAGTATGTATTTGCAGCCCACCACATATGCAAGCAACAGTCATCGAAATAGCCATGGAATGTTTATATTTGCCGTTGCCATTGCAAATGTGCTCCGTTCGTCGGGACTGCGAGCTTTCTTCACCGACTCAATACCTCGTCTCGCAGAGAAGACGACAGAAGACCGCAATTTGACCAGCGCAATTCTGCAGACCGCCCCTGGTTGCGCCGGTGGTATCCTCAAGGTGTCACAGTCCGATCAAATGAGGAACAAACGCCTTTCCTGATGGAGCGGTGGGATTGGGCTTCCGCGATAATCACAAGATGACGGGACAAACGAAGTGGGTACTGCCTTTGGCAGAGACGAAGGCAGTTTCAGACATGGAACCATTTTATCTTTTCTCCGCTGTTCTTGTTGCGCCGCGTTATTGACAAATGTGCGTTCGGTGGCATCCTTGGTATCACTTGAAAGACATGCCTGAGCGACCGGGGATCTATAAAGGTCGCCTGTATCCGCCCAAACATAGAAGGGATATTAGATCCCTTCAACAATAAAAGCTTTGTTGGCACTCTCGCAGGGCAGCAGTGAGGTCAAAGAAATCACCACCTCCCATCCCAAGACAAGCTTCTTCTCAACTCACCATTTCTCTCATTCTTACCTCACTAGTGGGTTTCGCACAGTAGCCCGCATCGAATAGACTGGCCGATCTCAAAACAATAAACGCCTTACAAGCCCCCGATATACGCCTCGCAGATCTCGCCGAGAGCATTTGAACGGGCCTGACAATTGCAAGCGTCCATAATGCCGTCCAAAGGGAGTCACTCCAACTCTCTGCCCGAAGCACGAGGCCTCAAGTACGACGAGTCGGATATGGCACTGTTCCACGCCAAATTGTCCTACCACTCCACCATCGAGGAACGCATGGCTTCGAAAGACACCAACCTGGCGTCCATATCTGAGCATCAGGCCCGGATTCTCAAGCGCTGGGAGATGCTCAAGCAGGTGGAGAAGGAGATGGCGGACAAAGGGAAAAGTCTGTCGCCGGCGGAGAAGAAGCAGTTGGCACAATATGAATGGCGATACAAGCGACTCGAGGAACTGGCTACCAAGACGACAGGAGGTTGAGATGTGACGGAGGGTGATATGGAAGCCGAGGGTCCCTGCTGGTCAAAATGGCATGCATCAAGCATTATCACAGGGAGTTATGGGAGGGTGACCATGCATTACCGGCGTTCATTCTAGAGTTGGAGCATTGCGCATAGCTCGTTTGGCGTCCTACCTGATCAGCTTAGAAAGATAATATGACATCTTGATTGACAATGATCTCTCCCACTTGTTTCCAATCGCTCGGAAGAGTCGGGCAACTGTGAAGGCTGGAAAGATCGGTGGCAAAGGAACATCGTCGTCCCTAGCTCTACAGCAAATTATCCAAGTCCATGCGTAGACATCGTACATGTGCCATTGCAGCAGCTCCCCACTTCTGCAACAGTAACATGTGCAGCGAAGTTGCACGCTCAACTGATTCAAGTCACCTCTGTGCGCAAGGGAGCCCCGACTCAAGCTACTTTGAAGTGTCACCGGCGGGAGCACAAGCTCCTCAACGCATTCTGTGAAACTCGGCCATCATCTGTAGCAGTTTCCCGAACCTGCAGCAAAAGTCTTGGAGCTTTGAGCCCTGTCACCATGCTCTGGGGCTTCTCGAAATGACACCAACACGGTGACTCATGGCGTCTTGCGTCTTTCCATGTTAACCACCAAGCCAATTAAGCAATCTGTGAAGTGACCATCCATTTCCCGGGGAAGGCTGCGATCATCGGAGACCTCCGAAGGGTACAATTCCGGGGGCAGTGGGGCACGAACCAGTATAACTGGATTGGGGATGAGCGGGAACGTTGGGAATAGCGACAGAAGTGCAGGTGATTGCGATTTGGTAATGGGAAATGGTGCCTTAAGGTGGCTAGGCGGATGGAACAGGAAAGCAGAGACTCGAGGGATGTGATTTGAGTGTCTTAGAAGATGAGACTAGAGGACTGCGAGACGAAAGAAGAAGAAGATCACTCGATGGCATCGAGTAATGATTACCTGAGGCAAACACGGTGCATAGGTGGCCTGCGGGGCTTATCGCCAGTTATCGGGCAATTTCATTTTCCCCCTCATCCACGGCCAGACTTATTTAAAGGGCGTTTCCAGCTGCGATAAGAAGAGGATGATCAGGCCAGACCGGAGTTACAAACAAGAAAAAGTGAGTTGTAGAGTTCAATCGCGCACTCAATTCCTCTACTCAATCCAACTATCCCACCACCATCGCTATGACGTCCTCCGATAAGGTCACCTATGTCCCCGCTGAGGAGATCGACAAGGGCTTCGCGCACACCACGAACCTGGCCTCGTCGGGCATGAATACCAAAGTCCTCGCCTGTTCCGACGAGTTCTTTGCCGCAGCCTCGAACCTGCTCACCCCGACTCCTCCCATCAACCGTCCCGGTGTTTTCGTGCACACCGGCGCCTGGTACGATGGCTGGGAGACTCGCCGCCACAACCCTGAGCCCTACGACTGGGTCGTGATCAAGCTGGGTGTCGCCAGCGGCGCCATCCAGGGCGTCGAAGTGGACACAGGTTTCTTCGTTGGCAACTATGGCGAGAAGGCGGAGCTGCAAGGGACCTACGCAACCGCCGACAGCGGCATCACAGACGAGCAGATCGCCGACCCCAGCTTCAACGGCTGGACCACCATTCTACCCCCCCAGCCCTGCGGACCGTCGCAGCGTCGCGCCTGGAAACTCAACGACTACGACCCCTCCAACCCCAAACCCTACACCCACGTTCGCCTGCTAATGTATCCCGATGGCGGATTCGGCCGTCTCCGTCTCTACGGCCACGCGATCCCTCCCCCGGCCCCCGGGCACCCCCACTCCGCAGAAGCCCCCATCGAGGAACTCTCCTCCGCGCTGCTGGGCGGTCTGGCCCTGACAGCATCCAACCAACACTACACGCCCATCTCCAACCTGATACTTCCCGGCCGGGGCAAGGACATGGGCGATGGCTGGGAGACCGCGCGGTCGCGCATCCCAGGCTACACCGACTGGGCCATCTTCCAGCTGGGCCTCCCCGGCTCCGTCGCCAAGATCGTCGTCGATACCAAGGACTTCCGCGGTAACTTCCCGCGCGCCGTGCGGGTGCACGGTCTGCTCGAGGGCAGCGTGGCGGCCGGCGAGGTGCCTGCGCATGATCATCAGGATTGGATCCCCCTGCTCAGCGGCGACAAGTTCTGCAAGGCCGATACCGAGCATGTGTACGAGGGTGCTGAACTCGCTGCTGGTGGCGAGGACCCGCGCACCTTCACACATGTCAAGTTGACCCTGATCCCTGACGGTGGTGTCAAGCGGTTCCGTATCTTCGGCCGCAGAGCCCACCGCGCTTAAGCTGTAATCGCATCGACTCCCATGCTGAGTGGTCCTGCTTTAGGGGTGAATACTGCCAACAGTTTTGTCCAAATATCTTGCCTTCATTGTACATAGTCTTGAATAAAAAAAGATTTCGCAGGCAAGCCTTCCAATAGGAGATACTAAAAAGGTCTCATTGGGCGACCCTCCTCCTTACGCTCTATTGTATCCCGGTACAAAAGTATGAAAATGAGAAACCGGCGATTGGAACAACCCTGCCTGAATGGGAGCTGAAGACTAAAACAATAACACCTATTGACAACCGTGTATCCGTTTTCAGAATTGCAATTCAAACCTCGGGGAATATTGAGCGCCAACGCGAAGAAGAAATAAAGGCTCCCCCGAACACGAAGTTGAATAAAAGAAAAGGGCGATGCAGCAATTGAGAATGGCTCAGCTTCGGGTGACAGGACTCTTTTCGGACATAGGAGCTAAAGGCATGACACAATACTGCATCGAAGAGGAAGGCAGAAGAAAGCAAGCAAGATGGGTGGCCAGATAATTCTGATAATCGCCCGCGTGGCAGGCAATTGCAGCCCATAATGCAAATATCGTGAGTCGTAGCGTTCATGATCATCGCATGGAACAGATAAAAAGGGAAATGAAAGGGTAAAAAGTAGAAAATGCAGCCATGATGCTCTTCGTGTACAGATAGATAGGCAAGCGCTGGTCTAACGAATCGAAAACTCCCATGAAGCACGGCCAAGCACATTGCGGATGACAGTAATGCCGGGAGGGAACAGGCATTTGATCCAGGCATACCAAGATTGACTCCAATGAAAACAGTACGGTAGAACCTGAATGAGACACTGGACTAGTTCATGACCGATTGGACCTGTCGCTGATCTTCTCGTCGTCGGGGGTCAGTGCAATCACCGGCTCCGAACCGGATGACGAAGTACTATTCGGAGTGCCGGCTTCGGAGCTGATGCTCCCTCTCACACGCATTGCCAGGCGAGTCTTGGTGTACGTTGGCGCAGGCGCAAGATAGTTGTCAAGCATCTCGCTAAGAACCGTAGAGCGGACCGGCTTGGGCAGGTAATTGTTCATTCCGGCCTCAAGGCACTTCTCGCGATCCCCTTCGATGGCACTGGCGGTCATGGCGATCACGAGAACCTCGTTCACGTTGGGATCTGGGTCCTTGCGGATTTCACGAGTCGCATTGTAACCATCCAATGTAGGCATCTGCACGTCCATCAGCACCACGTGGAACGGATTGCCCTCCAGAGAGCGTGCCCGCAGAGCTTCGACTGCCTGGCGTCCATCGCTGTACGCTTCGCATTGCAAGTCAAGAGCGGTAACAAATTTCACGGCGATCTTTTGGTTGATGGGATTGTCTTCTGCAATACAAACACGGATCTGATCGCGAGGGATCATGGTTAAATCACGCGCCATTGGTCGAGGTGCCACCTGGTTCTCCCCTGTGGCCGAACCCTCTGACCACGGCGCTTTTGTCACAGAGTCCTTGGCTTTGTTGAATGACAAGTGGAAAGTCACTGTGGTGCCGACGCCGGGAGTCGAATCGAGCCAGATCGCTCCGCCGAGGACATCCTCGATAATGGCCTTGCAAATGCTAAGTCCCAGTCCACTACCACCGTACGACCTCGCCGTGGAGCTGTCGGCCTGCGAAAAGGGCTTGAAAAGACGCGACTTTTGCTCCTCAGGAATACCAATTCCAGTGTCAGACACCGCACACTCCAGGCGCACACGATGCTTGCCCTCCCGTGAGACCTTGGCTCGGACGGTAATAGATCCCTTTGGTGTGAACTTATAGCTGTTGCTCAAGAGATTCATGAAGATTTGGTGCAAACGGACAGGGTCCCCCAGAACCACGAGATCTGGTGGAACTTTGTCCAGGTCTTCGATAGTCGCGAGGCCCCGGTCCCGGTGCGTGTAGCGCAAGGCGCGCACGACTTCGGAAATGGTCTCTTTGACGTTGAGAGGAACGGTCGATATCTTCATTTTTCCTGCCTCCAACTTCGAGAAGTCTAAAATGTCGTTGATGAGGGTGAGCAGTGTATCAGCACAGACTCGTATAGACTCGACATATTCGTCCTGTTCCTTGTTCAAGTTCGTTCCCTTGAGGAGTTCCGACAAACCAATAACACCGTTCATTGGCGTCCGGAGATCATGGGAGATGTTGGCTAGGAAGATGGACTTGGCTCTGGCGGCATCCTCCTTCAGTTTCACGTTGTGCTTGGCTTCTGCTTCTGCCACCTTGGCTTTATGCTCCGCCTCACGAGCCTGCGCGAGGGCGCGCTTCTGCGCTTCAATCATAGCTGCGTTGGTGGCGCTAACTCTGCGGACTTCACGGAAGAGCAGCGCATTGGCCAAAGAGATGCCAATCTGGTTGCAGAGCAGATGAAGCACTACAACATTGCGTTGAGTGAAGGAGTTCGGCTTGCCTTCAATATGAATGACGCCCAGGAGGTGGTCTGCCTGCATAATAGGCAGTGCAATGACAGACCTTCCCATGGGATATTTGTTCTGGTATGCCTCGTTGGCGTTGGAAAATCGATCGTCCTCGAGGAAATTGTGGACAAGAACCTCTTCTTTCGTGCGAATCACGTAGTGACAGATCTGCTGTGCCATCTTCTCGTCGAATTCCGACAGGGGAAGACCATCGACGAAGGACCTCTGCCCTTTCTCCAGGTCGCCAGTTGCAGCGACTGCAAAGCCATTGTCGTCAAAATCCGTTGCAATCACGGCAAAATCGGATCCGTTACAAGATTCCAACACGATCTCGATCATCTTGGTCAGGAGTTTATCAATCTGAAGTTCAGAGGACATCACTTGGCTTGACTCGAGTATGCTAGACAGATCGATAATATCTAGTGAGACATTAGTAACAGGACTTCTGGCTGATGTAGGCTAGTGGACTTACCCAGCCCAACACTAGAGATATCGAGCGAACGCTCCCCCGCAGTGACTCCATTCTGTTCAATCCAACGATGCTTTCTATCATCCCTTTCCATGTCTTGGGAGATGGCCATGTCTTCTTGGGCTGTGTTGCGATCGATACCAAGAAGCGAGTCGACAGTCTGAACACCAACGTCAGCACATCTGGAGGATGTTGCTGTTTTCAGAAGCCACTCGTGTTTCTCAGTGACTTGTGATGCTTTGCCAACAGCACTAATCGCGGCCCACGCGGCTATCGCGTCCTGCATCACAGAACGCGCTGCTCTTTTGGCGCCGCGCCTGATTAGAAATTCACCTTCATAGAGAATTGACGTCAGAATCCATTGGAGACAGTAACAAAGTCAAACAGAGAAGAACCCAGAAAACCAGCAATATGTGCACTCACCATGTAGTTCAAGAGCCAAGGCCTCCTCCATCGGCCAGCCGTGAATTTGGCAGTGATCGATCGCAGCCTAATTTGCAAGTCAGCTTTTTCACCCCATCTTCCCTCCCAGTCATTGCTCTGCAAACTCACCTCGAAAGCTTGAATGGCGGATGTATGGTCATTTCGGACTTCGGCGATTAGGGCTTCAAGAATCAATGACCACATTCCGTAATTGGCATCGCAGGCGCTCCGCGCAAAATCAACCTCCGCCTTATACTTCAACACGGTCTTCAGGTTGTCACCGTCCATATATCCACCCGCGGGAAAGTCATTGTGGAGTGTCAGTAGAGATAGAGCTACGTAGAAGTAGACCACATATCCAACGCGAGCAGACCAGAGCCTAGGAATCGTGTCCATCATCGACATTCCCGTCTCTATCACCTTCGTGTGATGTCCATATAGGAAAAGGGGTATCATAGCTAAGCCCCAATAGATGTCCCGAGGACGATCAGCGTTACTGGCATTCGTGTTTAAGAAGGCAATGTATTCGTCAGTACTATGGTGCTCGTCATCCATGATAGTGTTGGGGTTACGGTAGAATGTCTTTCCCTGAAGGGCGCGGGAGACTTGTCTGTAGTCATCTGGTCAGCCCAGTGTTGCACTGTAACTAGCCACATGCACCAGATACTTACCTGACAGCTAGAAGACTGGCGCCTCCCCGCGTGTCCTTGGACCAATCCGGAATATCGTCAGGACTCTCGATGCAGAACTGTTCAACTTGACCCATATCGTGTCCCAGCCACAGTCGGGTCATCGCCATCGACGACAGACTGATCAGTGTGATATAAGGGTCGCCCATCGTGAAGGAAACTTCAACAGAGGTCTCGAGCACTGGAAGTATGGACAGCATCGGCACTCGCAAATGACTGATGTAGAGATTGTGAACGATTGTGCCCCTACGCTGAGTCCATGGCTCCGGACAACACTCCAAGAGGGTCAATGCACAGTCATTGAGTTTGGCGGCAAACTCGAGGTCTCTGAAACGACTGAAAGAAATCATGGAGAGATGGGAACAACCAATTGAAATTTGCACGAACCCGCCCTTGAAGAGATGGAGGTTCATCATCTCGATAGCCATCCGGTAGAATGTCAACGCATCATCCCAATAGGTCACAGCCATCGCCTCTGCCATGACAGCTCCAATGGTAATCATGTTGATATCCTTACTCTTAGGTCTGCGAACGATGACTTCCAGATCGCCGTTCTCAAGGTATGCCTTCAGAGTGCCGTATGCAGCATCGCAAGCTTCGTAAGTAGTAGGCTCCCGAAGGTGGACACCCAGTTCCTCCAGGCATGTGAGAAGCGAGTTCATAGATTTGTAATGATTGCCCATCTGAGCATATATCTTGGCTTTCACAATCCAGGCCCTCGCTTTGCAGACGGCGCTCTTGCCATGGGTAAAAACCTCGTCGAGAAGTCGTAGAGCTTCAGTATGATGGCCCTGAGACCAAAGCATCTCCGCCGTCGCGATATGCAGGCGTAATGTCTCGTCGTAGTAGACATCGGCATTATTGTCGTCCCAAGGGTTATCCTGAAGCAAAGCAAAGCAGTGGCGGAAGTACCATAGCGCGGTTGGCCTAGCACCGGATTGAGAAGCAGTCTGTGCGGCATCCCATAAGATCTTTCTGTAGTCGAC